TGCACACAAATTTAATTTGTTGTTGTTGTTGTTGTTATTATTATTATTTTCAAAACAAAAGCTTTATTAACAAAGGAATCAAAATGTCTTACAACTGATGGTCCAAAAGTGACCATAAAACATACTCAACCATTAAGATTGGGCCTATAATAATCTAAAGAAACTAAAATAAGGAATGGACCCAAGCCCTAACAGGCTGGCCTAAAGAATGAAGGAATAAAATAATGGACTCAAGCCCAACTAATAGGCCAAATCTAAAGAATAATAAAGGAAGAGAAAAAAATAAATAAAAGGGGATGCTGAAATGGAGGTGCAGAATCTCCCTATCGGCGTCACCAATTTTTGCAAAATCCCGCAGCATAACGGCTGTTTTTAGGATAATAGTCTACATCTGCGTGCCACCATGTACTATTGCGCCACCATGCCGCACCACCACAAAGTTGCAATGTCACGACTCTGCACCACAATGCAACGATGCAACAGTGCCAACACGGCCGCAATGCTTCACATCCACGTCTCGTCTATAGCTATTGGCTGGCCAAAACCTCCAAGAATGTTAACCCATTTTGTAAGATATTCGACAGCATAACGGCTGCTGCAGGGCTATCTCACAAGGACAGAAATATACAACAACAGCTGCCCAACTATCAGCACTAGGCAAACACCCACAAAGGAGGCCCAAAAAAGAATAAATGGCACGCAGGGCAAAATATACGGGCACGCAGGCCAACACAAAAAGCACAGCCCAGCCAATAGCAACAATCCTCCCCAACGGCACTAGCAACGAACAGTAACCAAAACCCTAACGGGATTAGCTACTATGGGCCAGCAACAAGCCTGGACTACCGCCAACGAATTTGATAAACCCCTACTAGGCCACTGTTCAGCCCGGGCTAGGATGCAATTTCTTACCGCTTGCACCAACGTTGAGGCGTGGTCTATTTTAAGAAACGCACAAGGGCGAAACCAAATAAGCCTAAGACCAGCAATACCTCAGAAGCCAAAGAAGACCTGCAAAATGAAATGTGATAGAACAAGCAAACGCCACATTTCCTAATCCAATACAACTTAAAATCATGATTTGAACATGCAGTGTATAAGGGAATAACAGGCAGACGCGAACAAAGGTAACCCCCATCATATATATCCCGCCCACCCGGAGCCCAGAAGGGACTCGGCTACTATTGGCCGAGCAGCAAGCCTGACTAGGTCAACGGATTTGTTATATCCTGCCTGACCACCGTTCAACCCGGACTAGGGTGCCTCTTGTACCGCTGACACCTGCGTTGTTGAGGCTAGGCCTGACGTAAAGCCAAGCCATCATTGCCTCTAAGCAACGTACTTTTCAGTCTCTCTTTTCATTTCTTTTATTTTTTCCTTCATTTTTTTTTTCCTCTCTCTTTTTTAATTCTTTTCATTTTCTCATTTTCCTTTTCTCCATTTCTTTCCTCATACTTCATTTTCATTCTTTTTTTTTTTTTTTTTCATTTTTCAAATCTGTTTCTTTCAACCAAAACCAACATCAAGAAGAAAGGATGAGTTCAGGGTGGGTCATAATCCTCAAAGAACACCGAGGGGACATCATCATGGACCAGCAAAGTGCGCACCCTCGGAGGTAAGTCAAACAAATTAAGAAAGATAAACTCCCCATCCTTACCCCATACCCAATCTGCCAATGCAGCCACTGGGTGATTGCCCTACGGTAGACACTGAAGAACAGATACAGATGCATAGGAGCAAAGAAACCGGAAGCGTGACACTTCAAAGACTAAAACCCATGGGATGGGAACGGAGGGGTCAACATAACCCTTAAGCTCAGACAATACAGACTCCAGGACCACAGACCTAAAACCCCTTGCCAAACACCATTCAAGACAGCGGAAGATAACACGGAATATATCACGAAACCCGTCCACTGCCGGAATGGAGAAAGCATAGCAGAAACCACCACCCCAATTACGAACCAAAGCAGCAGCCCCACCCACAGACTCAGAGTATGAAAGATTGAGCTTCACGGAGCCTCCAGAGGGGGGTCCCATCTAATAGCACGAACCACACGTCGCGGGACAGCGGAATCTATGTAGGATACGATGACAGACCAGCTTAGCGGCAGAATGTGCTCCCTCGGCCACCGCCTAAAGAGGCACTCTGCCATCCCTTTGGCAACACCATACACCACCCCAGGCACACTCGGTGAGCCTCTACCGTGCAAGCATGCATTCTTGTGTTTCCATAACTCCCAAAGGATGAGATATGGCAACTCGCAAATAACAAATGCAACAAGACGGTTATGTGAAACCACCCGCCTCTAACTAGTCAACAACGTCTGTAGACCCCGATGACGGAATTGCAAGCCAAGTGATCCCAGAAAAAAACTCCAGACAGCCCTAGCAGTGTCCCCCGCATAAAAAATGTGGTCAAAGGTCTCCTTAACAGGGTTACTACAGCACCAGCATCTGGAAACAATAAGGTGCCAAAATCTAGCCAAGGCATCATCAGTGGGAAACCAACCCCGTAATACACGCCAAACGAGAAAGGACACCTTAAAGGGAAGATGCTTATGCCAACATGCACTCAAAAGAGGGTCAGAACTGACCGGTTCAGGTCTTAATAAAGAATTTGCTGAGGAAAAAGAAAACAAACCGTTCGTGACGACCGGCCAAATAGGAATGTCAGCCACTCGTTGGCCTAAACGGGACATGTCTGCCTCCAACCCGGCTGGAAGTAGGTCATCATAGGCCGACAAGGTCCAGTTCCCCATCTTGAATGTAGTCAGACAGCAAATAACCGGAGTACTCTACCCTTGGGAAGGGGTAAAGGCGCCCTAGCGGGCCAAGTCCAGACTAGTTATCCCACCAGAGGTTAACGTCGCCATGAGTCAGGCGCTAGCCGAAGACAGCCTCCACCTCATTCCTGACGCTGAGCATGCGCTTCCAAGTGCGCATGTCAGAACATTGCATTAATTTCGCGACCAGGTGAACACGGCTGTAGTACTTGGCTCGCATGAAATTTCCCCACAGCGAATACACCGTGCGAAAATTCCACCAGTTATTATTATTATTATTATTATTATTATTATTATTATTATTATTATTATTATTATTATTATTATTATTATTATTATTATTATTATTATTATTATTATTATTACTAGTAGTTGCACCCGTGCGTTGCACGTCCATGATATTATGGTACAATATATAAAAGATTGTTATATTGAAGATATAGGACCAATAAGGTTTTAGATGTAATAAATAGACAAAATATAATTTATTGGCGTTCCATAAACAAAACAATTACACATTATTAAAGATTTCTTTGTAAACTACATTTTGAGTATTGTTTAAAAGACCTCTAGATTCCTCACAAATTAAGACTTGTTGTTAGGATTACTCACCCTAGAAACTGCTACATACAATTGGCCATGGTTAAAAACTGTTTTTTTTAGTAACAAACCAACATATGAAAGCGTTTGACCTTGACTTTTGTTGATTGTCATTGCATATGATATCATAAGTGGAAACTACTTTTTTGAAATTTAAATGGAAGTCTTGGGTCTGAATGAGTCAATGCTAACCTTGGCATCAACACATTTGTACCTGCGTTGTTGCCACATAGGATCTGTGCCTCAATAACATGATTTCCAACTGTGTTACTATCAACGATGTAACATTACACAGTCCCAAAGAGTAATCTATATTTCTCAGCATAACTGGAGTTCCAATTTTCAAGGTTGAACAGTGGTTGGGGACCCTTAAACATCTCAAACTGTTTAAATTTTAAAAATAAATCAGAACAAACCAAAAAAATAAACAAAACCACATATTAAAAAAAGTATAAGATGATTTATAACATTATCCATTCTGTATTATTTTTATAAAAAAACAAATATTAATTGTTCATTCAAAATTACACTTTAGTATACATTAATAACCATATACTAATCTAAATTTAATTTAAAATTTTACAAATATTAACTTAATATTGCAACAAATAAAAATAATAATAATCAATAAAGGAAATCAATTTTTAAAAATTACACAACAATTTTACTATTATAAATCATTTCAAAAAAATAATAAATAAGCTGCACAAATTAAAAAAAATTACAATACAAAATAATTATTAAGTATTACAAATTAATGGATCACAATAATATCTAAACAAATTATTTCAAACAATAAAACTAAAAGAATAATGTTCTCGGATAAAATTTCCATATCCAAATCTCATAAAACATAACATATACTACAAATAATATATATATATATATATATATATATATATATTTACGGCCCAATATTCTAACCCAACCCAGTTGACCATACCCGACCCAAAAACATAAACAAATAAAACCAAACACCCCCAAATCAGAAACCAAATTCCCCTCCGCTTTTCCCGTCTCCTTCCTCGTCACTTTGCCTGAACCCCTCTAAGCTCACCGGAAACGTAAACCTTGCCAAATCACTAACAACAACCTACAATCGAAGCTCTAACAGCCCCCAAATCGCGCATATATGGTCGCAATTCGATCATTTCTATCTCTCAAACCCAAAACACAGCACATCCAAACCCTACTACCACACAGTTCAATGGAGAAAGAAGATTATCAATGCTGGCGAAAGAAAGAACCTACCCTATCAAGTAATTTTTATTTCATTCTTCAATCGACGCATCTTTTTGTACCTATCTACACACAAGTCCTAATTTATTTTCTCAATACAAAGTGTAGATAAAAACACAGTGAAACTATCTGCAAAAACGTTCCAAGATCATGCAGCACAACACAAATTGGAAGAGAAAGCAACAAACCAACAAAGATAAGTCTTACTCGCATTTTCTGTGCATTTAGCGAAAATATGTAACCTCAGCAACTATAATTTGTATATGATCTTTAGGTTTTTCGAATTTGATGGTTTTTAGGGCATGCATGTATATTTTTCTTGAATTTTAATTGAATAAATGCTTATATTACTTCATAGAAATATAGTTCTAATTTTTCCAATTTTTTAGTGTTCTAGGTTCACTCTCAAATTGGATAGCTGTAATTTATGAAACTGAAGATATTGTTCGATCAACTAAGGTAAGCTAAAAAACCACCTTTATTATTTTCCTTCAGTTCAGCAGAATTCATATTTCACTGTAAAAATGACTCCTTTTTTGGGTGTAGAATCAATCTTGTAGACTGTTAGTATTTTGCAATGCTTGCTGACCTTTAATTTGGTATAAATGACTGTAGTATATGATAGAAAAATTGTCAACCAATTTACCATTTAGACTGTTAATATTTTACAATGCAAATTTGTGATGATTTTTTTATTATCTAGTTGTTAATTAGTGTTTTTAAATGCTTGGCAGAACCAAAGTGAAATAATATTGTGCTAGTATGCATATATTGCTTATTTCTCTGGCCTGCAAAGTGTTTCCTGGTAATCTAGCATGTTACAGAAAGCTTATAAAGAAAGTTTAAATCTAGCATGTTCCAGATTCATTCAGTTGTTATTCCATACATGGCCAAATTGTTGTTTAAATTGTTAATCATGGATTTAAATACCTCAAGCCATAAGATTTTTATACACTTAGGCATTAGACTTGTAATTATCTTCATGGTTTTTTGACAACTGTTATAGTTATAGAGTGTAGTAATCTTTATTGTTATACTTTAGTTACTAAGTATGGTCTTTAGTATGGTATTTTAAAAAGTTTAGGTTGTCTGATTGCTTTAAAATATTTTTTGTTTCCATCTAAATTCTTAATTATTTTTTCTATGTATGCTAGAAAGTATAGAATAGAATAATTGCAACTTGTTTGCCACAAGTTCATTTTTACATCGAGAAGGCAGAGATAGCTTACATGGTGTATGAAGTTGATCAAATTGGTTTGTAAAGGTGTATGAACACATAGCTTTCAAAGCTAAATTTTTTCTTTTATTTTTAAAACATCTTTTGATAAATTTTTTTTCTTCAAAATGTGCATAAGTAGTTTTTAGCCTTCTTGTTGTAGTTGATAAGCATGATATTTAGTAAGTAGCCTTAATATGGCTATTCTAAAACATGTGCATAAGTAATTTTAGCCTTGTTGTTGTACTTGATAAGTATGATATTTAGTAAGTACCCTTAAGACGCTATATTTGGATTGTTAGTACTAAGTGGTTTTGATAGGTATAGTGTTTGTTTTCTTCTGTGTTTTGGTTATGTAAATGGCACTTGAGCAGAAGGTAGAGAAATTAAAGCTAAGATTTAGTGTTTTTTGGTTCTGTAAGTGCCTGCCTTCAATTCTGTTGCTTTACTACCTTAGACCAGCCTGCAGTTTCATGAAAACAGTGTACATAACTGAGGTTTTAAATCTATGACTCATGGCTTTGATACAAAATAATAATAATAATAATAATAATAATAATAATAATAATAATAATAATAATAATAATAATAATAATAATAATAATAATAATAATAATAATAAATCTCAGGCCATCTTTGTTTTCTAAATTGATTTTTTGTTGGTAAAATACTATAATTATACTCTTATTTTTTCGCATAGTTACTAATCCTTTATATTTATATTTGTTTTTTGTGTGCGAGGATTAACTTGGTGACATGAAAAGAAGATCAGTAGGTGACTACTAAGAAAGCTTTGGGGAGAATACAGAAGATGTTATGAAAACTAAGAGATTAGTTTGCAATTTTACGTTTATTTCCTGCAGTTTATTTTCTTTTGTTGCCTATAATGGTAGACTTTGTAATTTGACTCATATTTCTCCAATGGCATCATACACCTCAGTAGGATAGTTTTGATATGTTAGTGAGTGTTTATATGTGATTTAGCAGGTAGAATATATTTAAGTAATTGCTCAGCCCCTTTTTCAAATTTTGTTTCATTTTCTTAATTGTGATTTTTCTTTCTGTCGGTGGAAATGAAAAGTTTTTTTGCAGAGTAATGATTACTTTGATAAACACACGTCATCATAGCATTTTAACAGTATGTTGTATTACTCTTAACTTCTTTTGACATATTGAATCAGTTCAATTCACTAATTATGTATGAACACTAACAATTTTGTCTTAACTTCTTTTCACATAATGAATCAGTTGTTTTCACAAATTATGTATGAACACTAACAATTTAGCATATTTCTCTCTTGTGTGTTGTCATTTTACCAAAATAGATGTAGGCAAAACACCATTTTTTGTCTACTTAGACTGTTAAATGTCAATTAGAAGTACTACTTGAATTTGTAACTCTACCTTTAACCAATAGGATAAAGTTTTTTCACAACCGTCACTTTTTTTCTCTTGTGCTCAAATGTTAATTTATTTTAATAAGGAATTTGATGATCTACTAATATCTTCAAACACTTATTTGATGCTACTAATTTTATTCTTTAATAGTTATTTCATGGTTCATGTTAATATTATGTCAACACATAACAAACATGCCAAGATTTTCATGAGTTAATATCTAACACTTTGTTAGTTAACATGATCAACAGTAGCATGTTATTTTAATTTTTAAAGATTTTCTTTACTACTATGCAAATTTGCCAAGTAGCATATGTTACATTCAATCTAAGTAGTTAATTGATTTTGGATTTTATCATACAGATTGGAAGTTTTTTTCAAGCTGCAAAACTACAAATGTTTAATTAATGCTAGAGGCGGATATATCTTGCAAGTGAAGCGGACAATGGTGAAGGCAAACAACTTAGTATAAGGTAATATGATTTTTTGAATTTAGTAGTTGTAATTTTTTTTTATACTTTGTAGGTAGTGTTAATCTAGTTTGTAGTTCATGTAATTGAATTAGAGTTTCTTTATTGTAATATCAGTTTGCCTTAAATTGTCTTCCAATTTTGCAGGATTCAACTCATTTACAGTCATTTGTCAACTTAAGTGAAGTTGAATGTGTCAAAAACTGAAGTCATTTCACTGTTAAATGTGGAATGTGGTTAAATCTACAAAAAAGGTACATATGCTATTATTATTAATGACTAATTTATTTGTCTAGATTGTCAATAGCAAATTCTTGGCCTAAGTTACACATTGCCTATAAATAGTAGTCATATGTCATATCTTTAAACATTTTGTCTTTTCAGCATGTTCCTTGAATCTTTCTTTATTCCATTGCATCACCATCTTTCTTGAATCTGCGCCTGAAAGTAACTTAAGAAAACTGCAAGATAGCTAATATAAATCTGTCACATAGAAATCAATAGTTCAGACTTAGAGATCATTGGCACTTGGGCAAAAAACCACAGTCCAAAATAATGTTTTAGAGGTCAAACAGGGCAAAATATAGTTCTAAATATTGTTTCACAACCCACCAGTACAAAAAGATTTTGTCAGAAACCAAGCTACTCTACGTCAATGTCACTTTTTTCAGCTTCACATTCACTTGCTTATTCTTTTTTGAGGTTTTAGTGGATGATAATTCATCCAGAAGATTTCTTTTCACTGAACCACTTGCATCACCACTCAATTCCTTCTGGCTTCAAAGCAGTTACAGGGCTTTCAGCCTCATCATCATCCTCTTTGAAGAATTCCTGCAAACATTTTGCAAATTAGAGATTATATTCCATTTAATAAAATAACAATTAATTATAGATTAGAATTATATTTAGTTAGGAACCTTACATCATTAGTGTCATGTTGATCTTCTGGCGATCCCTGCTTTGGGAATCAGGCAATTCTGGCGATCCCTGCTTTAGGAATCAGGCAATGCTGGACAGTGAATTGCAAGTAATGCACTGTCTTTCTCAATTTTTACCACAAAATGCATTAAGTAGATTGTCAAATTGTTCCTTTCTAGCAGCAATTTTAAATACCAATGATAGACCAAACCAAAGTCTTTAACTCCATAGGTATCTTCCCATTTTCCTAAGTCAAGTTCATAGTCTGCATTAGTTCACTCATAGTATTAAGATTCAAAGATTTTTAAAAGTAGATGGTGAAATGATATTTACCCTTGGATATAATGCTTTCAATTCTGCTACTGTCATACCAATTAGATCAACACATTCCATTTCCCAAAGCAAGAATGGGGCATCTCCATTAACATCGACCACCCTCACTTTCAAACGATATCTCAAAATAGCTTCAGCCCAAATTCTGCTACACTTATCACATGACTATAGGCCACCCTTAGGCACAAGCTTTTTATTGCACCCTTTTGGCTTGCTAGAAATATAATAATAGACTTCTCTAATTTCTTCATTCTACTGCCTATGGTTATTGCAATGTAGTGCTTTTGAAAATGAAAAAGTTCTTTGATCCAGAGAAATGTTTTGAGGTATTCAACCTGCCATCAAACAATTTGAAAGTGGACATGCTACTATTGTTGGATGCAGTTGGACCAAGGTAACTTTTAATTATTGTTTTCAAGTTATTTTAATCATTACCTCTAACACATGTGCAAATGTGATTTTTAAGCCGACTGATGTAGTTGATATGTATACTATTTAGTACTTAGGAAATGCTAAAAAAATACTTGGTTCATGTATTTTATAAAGTATTAAGAGTAATAAGTTTTTGAAAAGTATGCTATTTCTAAACTGTTAGTACTAAGTACACTTACTTGTTTTATGTCTCTAAATTGTAAGTACTAAGTACACTTGGTACTTTTTCATCACAGAGCAGGAATATTAAAAAGGCTATCATTGTCAGAGACATATAAGGCTAACCCCATCCCAGCCACTTTCTCTCACTTTCTAAAATGGGTCCCACTTCCAAATCACCCAATTTACAAATCATTTAATATTCACACTACATCCCTACAATTTCAACCAACTTTCTAAAGTGGACCCCGATTTCACATCACTTTAAAAAATTAATATCTTTTTCTTAATAAATATTATTTTCTCTTCTTTATATATTAATTTATGTATATCAATATATAAATTACATTAAATACTAAAAATAATAAAAATGACCTCAAATCAAAAAATATACGGAGTAGTTTTTAAAATAAATTACTTTTAAATATTAAAAATAGATATACGGAAAATTTAAATCTAAAATAATTCGTGTTATTAATTTGAATTACGATTTAAATTGTAAAACTAAACCTCAAATGAACCTTACAAATTCGAACTAATTGAAATCACTACAATTAAGCCAAGTACAAATTTGAAGACATCGAAATAACTAAAATTAAACAAATTACAAATCCGAAGACACTGAAATCATTAAAAGTTAAGAAACTACAACTAACCGATTCCACTGAAAGCAAATATATTTATTCATTTATTTCATCTCCACCAAACCGATTCCATATCTCCTCGATCAAGTCTTCTTGTAGTCGACGGTTTGTTGGCCTATTGCGAATTCTTTCATGATTTCGAATATAATCCTCATTTCGAATGAAGTGGCTAGGACTATTTTCAGGTATAGATACATTACAATTCACACTTTCATTTGTATAATTAAAATCAATAGCATATGAATCTCGCTCATCCTCTACAATCATATTGTGAATGATTATACATGCTCTCATAATTTGTCCAAGTGTTTTCTTTGGAACCCATACGTGCCAGGTTAGAAGTGATAGCAAATCGTGCTTTAAGCACCCCAAAGGATCTTTCTATATCTTTTCTTGCACCTTCTTGTTTCTTTGCAAATAATTTATGTTTTGCACTTTGAGGTAAGGGGATTGACTTCACAAAGGTTGCCCAACTTGGATATATTCCATCTGCCAAGTAATAGCCCAAATTGTAATGGTTACCATTAACAACGTAATTTACCTGGGGCGCTTTACTTCCAAGACCTCGTGGAAGATTGGGGATCGGTCCAACACATTGATATCATTTAATGTACCTGCGAGACCAAAGAAAGCATGCCATATCTTCAAGTATAATGGTTGGATAGCCGTGATCTCCTCTAACATATTGTCCATGCCAGGCGGTTGGACAATTTCTCCATTCCCAGTGCATGCAATCGATACTCCCTAGCATACCTGGGAAGCCCCTTTGTTCTCCAATTTGCATTAGCCTTTGTACGTCTACAACAGTTGGCCTTCTCAGGTACTCTTCCCCAAACACACCATTGATAGCTTGAACAAATCTTTTCATACACATAATTGCAGTGGTCTCACCCATTCGTATATACTCATCAACAGCATCTGCAAAACTCCCATACACTAACATACGCATTGCTGCAGTACACTTCTGTAGCGGCAAAAAACTCCTTCTACCGGTAGAATCTATAGTGCTTTGAAAATATTGGTCATAATTTATAACACCTTCAACTATGCGAAGAAATAAGTTTCTAAGCATTCGAAACCTTTGCCGAAATAAATCGTCGGTGTACGTTGGGCTATTAGAGAAGTAGTCATTATATAATCGTTGATCTGCTTCTTCACGATTTCTCTCAATGACCCGTCTTGGCCTTCTTCTACGCTGAGAAGATGCAACCTCATTTTCTATAGCTTCTCGTCGTAGGTTTAGTAGGTTCGATAGAGTATCATCCATGAACCACTGTATGATATTTTGCTCAGAAAAAGGATTATCTGGGTCTTGGGATGAAGAAGAAGACGAGTCAGAGAGGGGTGAGTTTTCAGAATTTTGGGTAGAAAATTCAGAATAAAATGAATTAGAATCACCAATTGAGTTCCACTCATCCATCTCATAAAGAGTAATGAGATTGGGAGAAGAAGAAAGAATAATGAGATTTAGTAAAATGAGTAATAGAATCAATTCAAGTAACAAGATATATATATATATATATATATATATATATATATATATATATATATATATATATATATATATTGTACACACACATATATTTATATATTCTCTACACAAATTTCTTTCAAAAAATGATTATATTCTTTACACAAAATGATTATATTCTCTACACAAATTTCTTACAAAAAATGATTATATTCCCTATCCAAATTTCTAACAAATGTGTGTGTGTGTGTGTGTCATCATTTTGAATATGACATTTTGGTAGGGAATATCATCATTTGTTAAAGGAAATTTGGATAGGAATATCATCATTTTGCATATGACATTTAAGTAAGGAATATCATCATTTTTTGTAAGAAGAGAATATCATCATTTTGAATATGACATTTTGGTTTGGAATATGATCATTTTTTGTAGGAAATTTTGGGTAGAGAATATCATTTTTTGTAAGAAATTTTTGAATCATCCTACCTATAAATAATGGATCATTCTTGCCATGCATATCACTTCATCCATCCTTTGCCTTCTTCCATTCCGAAATATTGTAACACCTTCAAATGGATCCTTCACGTCCTCCACCCAATCCATTTTTTAAGTTCACACTACTTTCACATAATGATACTAATGAAGCCAATCAAAACCCACAACCCCCAATCTATCCATCTTCCTTTCTTCCCGGAATGAGCAATGTCAATTATCAACAATTACCTAGTTTGTATCAAGTTGTTCTACCACCCTATCATCCATCATATTCCATTTTTACTTCAATGTCTACCCCCACTAGGTTTACTCATCCTACTCCTCCAACAAATATACCTTTGCCAGAATTTCCTGAGTACTCCACTCAAGAAATGCCAACTCCTCAAGAAACATGACCCACAAGCATATTGAAAAGTCGATGGACAAATAAGTATGTCATGTTGTTATGTAGCGCATGGCTCAACATTAGTAAAGATAGTGCAGCTGGAAATGATCAAAGTGGTAATTGCTTTTGGAATCGAATTGTAGAATTTTACAATCAGTATCGAAGCCAACCCGAGCAAGCAAGAAGAAACAAACAGGCATTGCTGAATCGTTGGGGGAAGATAAATCATTCAGTTTCAAAATTCGTCGGCTATTATGAACAAATTTTGCATCGGAGGGAAAGTGGCTTAAATGAAGCTGATAAAAGAAATAGGGCCATGCAATTATATCATGAGATTGAGAAAGAAAATTTTATATTTTTGCATGCTTGGAAAGTGCTAAGGAATGAAGAGAAATGGTGTAGCCAAGCTGGGAGGGGCATTGATGTTCACTTGACCGGGGGTCCAAAGCGAACAAAAAATACGGAGTCAGGTAAATTCACATCATCATCATCAAATACATTTTCACAATCAAGTGAGACACCGTGTGGGGAGTGTTTAGCCCTCGTCCCTTGGGAAGGGACGCTTCTAAGGCGAAAGGAAAAAGAAAGCAATCACCAACACAGTCAACGGCATCAGAAAGTTATGGCGAGCAAGTTGAAATGCAAATGACAGTGGAGATGGAAAAAGTAAATCTTATGAAACAATATATGAAGCGACAAGAAGAGAGGTTGCAACAACAACAACAAAAGGATAAAAATAGGTTTCTCATTGAGCTTATGCAACTAGATACATCAACTATGAATGAAATGCAAAAACAGTTGTACGATAAGCAAATGAAGAAGTTATTAGATGACTAAATATGAAGAAATTAATTTGTATGCATTGTATTTAGAAATCAATGAAAATTAATGTACTTTTTAAATATATTATTTCATTAAAATAAATTAAATAATATTAAACATTTAAATTAATTAATTAATAAAAAATAAAAATCATTAACCAAAACTATATATATATATATATATATATATATATATATATATAAGAAATAACCAAACAAAAAACTAAAACGCACAATAAAAGTTATATAACAAAAATATATGTATATAAAGGATATAACAAAACAAAAAAAAAAATCAAAAGTTACGTAAATAAAAAAAAAAAAAAAAAAAAAAGGTAGTCACATCGGCAGCTTTTGCTGCATTTTTGCAACAAAAGCTGCCAACAGCAAGCTTGTTGCAGAGCAAGCTTGCTAAGTGACATGTGGCATATTAAAATAAATAGAAATTGTTAATAAAATGCCACATCATTTAGAAATAGAGGGTAATTGCAGGGTCGGGGACAGCCTAAGTACGGAATAGAAGAAGACAACATCAGGTAACATTCAAATTTAAATATTCAATAGTCTGCAATTTATTGAATTTATAGAATTCTAATGGAACAATGTTTCTCACATTTTTCCTAGTTAAATGAGAATATTTAAAACCTAATTATTTTATGTTTTCTTAAAGTATATGATCCAAGTTTTTGAAATCCAAGTTAAAAGGCTTTATTTTCAAATCAGGGCCCTCAATGTATCATATAGTTTATTTAAAACATGAAGCTAGATTTTGATTTTTCTATTCTAAGAATTCACAAACAGATGAAACACAAAGTCTTTTATACGCTTCGAAAAACTTTTTGTCCTAATATGATTGTCATCTAAAACACTTTTTGATAGTTAATCTGCACTGAATGATTTCACCTGTTATTTTCTTGCAATATAGTTTATACAGACTTTCATGAATTATATAGCATATATCACCAAATAAGCTAATATACGATCTAATACTTAATTACAACTTCATCGACTTGTGCTTGAATCCAAACTTATTAACTATATCTATAGTATACACACCAACATTTTGACTTAGGTTTTTCCAGTAATGAATGTTGATATCCTCATCTTGGTTTTCCTAGCAAAAAAATAATGGATTAGTATACTATACACCATAATGGTAAGTATTGATGAAATCAAATTAAATTGTGCTTACACAACAATCTCAAACTCCTTAGGTCTATTGTATGGCCAGACTTCATCCTGCAAAAAAGAACGAAGCAAGAAAGAAAAAAAAAAAAAAAAAAACTGTCTTATTTTTATGCATATGCATTTCTGTGAAAAAAAAGTACTAAATCATATCGAATTGTCCTTTCTCACATGCAATTTTCTACTGTTAATTGTTTGGTGCTCTGAATAAAAACAATATTGTATTCACACATTGTACTATAGTTTGTAATATCAGCTTTTGTAAATTGCGTTGTGCAAGGATGAATTAAAACCGTCTGAAAGAAGAACAGTTAATGAGAATTAAGCAGGAAATAAGGAGAACACAAATAAGCAGAAGAATAAGAGAGGTAAGCAATATTACCTTTATTTTCTACTAATTCTTTTCTCTTGTTTCTACTAATTCTTTCCTCTTGTTTCCTATGACAGTGGATTTTGTACGTTTCTTCATAATACTTCAATTGACTGAAAAATGATTTTACTAACAATAAATACTTTTTTTTTAAATTTTCAGTTGAAAATTGAAATAGACACATAGCTTACCTCACTATCATAAAACACATTCTTGGCTCTTGATGCTGTCTGAATTGCGACCTTCTGGAACAGTATAGGTACGAATCAACCTTAATCTGATTGCTCTTTTTGTACGTAGACATCCCCGTCTTTACCTTAAATGAAAAGTGGAGCCATTTGCAAATTTTTAGAATGAGTAAAGCCACAAAGAAAGATGTATCAAGCCTAGCTTCAAGGGGAGAATGATGGTAGAGAACTATTGAATTAGTACCGAGTATTTATAGAGGAAATCTGAGAAGATTTAAATCAGCCGTGCTTGTGTGCTTGCAAATCAATTATGAGTGTACATGGGAAGAAGAAACGCTACATTGGAAAAGCTGAAAATAAATTTGAATTGCAGATGAACTGTGCGATGTTCTATTTCGTAATTGTATGTATGTATTTGTATATATTAGTTGTTAATTGATTGATTTAAATGGTTGTCAGTAGCATTTATATCAAAGCTGCCTGAACAGATTCCCAGGAAATTGAGACTCCAAAAAGGGTTTTTAATTATAGCTTTAGTATTCAATTCAAATATAAACACATTTATTTGTTATATTTTATTAGCAAATAAATTTGAAAAATTCCAATGTTATATCTTGAGATCCAAAACGGCACAGTTTTGTTTGGGCAAGAAATTGAAGCCATTTGATTGGCTGAAATCTTATGGCTTTATTATTATTATTATTATTATTATTATTATTATTATTATTATTATTATTATCATCATTGATGTTGTTGTTTTTGTTATTATTATCATTGTTGTAGAAATGCACAAATGCTATATTAGATAATTGTATTTAATGAAATCAAACAATTATCATTGGACCCCTATTTTGATTGAACGACCATGTTTCTAGGTAATTAATGAGGCAAGTAAAATTGTACCTTGTATAAAGAACACCTACTTCAGAGGGAAATAATAAATTTCACTTTTAACAAAAATTAAGTTAAGTTTTACAGTTTAATCAATATTGAATTATAAATTTAATTTATTATAATATAAAAATTGTTAGGACATCATTTGTATTATCGATTATACTATCTACAATAATATTAATCTTTATGATTACTTTTACTAGAAGTTTAAATTACTCATTTTGATTATATCGAAAATAATTATTTTTATTTTATATTTAAAATTGTACTAAACATTTACCTATTGTAACTTTCGTGTTAAATTTCATGTTGAGTATATATATATATATATATATATATGTGTGTGTGTGTGTGTGTGTGTGTGTGTGTGTGTGTGTGTGTGTGTGTGTGTGAAACACAAACACACATACATTAATAACTATACACTTAATCAATATATTAATTTAGTTAACCAAACTATCGACGGAATAACAAATTTGCAACGGAAATGTTAGCGACGGATTTACGAAAATAATTATTTTCGTCGTTATATTTCACGACAGAAATAATACACTATGCTTTATTCTGGATCAGAAACAGTTGCAGTGATAGTCTTCAGAATTGCTCTTTGAAAGGTTGTTTCCTATCAAGACCCTACATCTATGCGGATCTAGATCATAAGGTGTTGATGCTTTTGAGGACCAAGCAACAGCTCTTTCAGCCTTGGAAGTCTCTCTTCTCACCTCTATAGAAGGCAACTTTGATTAGTGAGAAGATGTCGATTTTACGAAGTACTAGATACACAATCTTAATACCTCTTGTCCTCTATATCGTCCATCCTGTTACTGCTGTTGAAGACACCAAGTTTCAGTATAAAGTCTAGCTTGCACGATCAGTCCTCACTCCTCATAGATGATAGCTGGGTCGGTAGGGTAGTGTAGTGAATGGGCTGACGTGAGTAGCCCCGCAGACGTACGAGTAAGGCTCCGAACTGCGTGAACACATCATGGTGTCTAGTTCCGTTTATTATTCGTTTTATTATCTGTTTTACTTTCTGTCATAGAATCTGTTGCTAACCAAATTAAACTACGAATATTAAAATTTAGTAGGAACCTTAGAATTAAGTCTTGCATTCAAGATCCACATGTTTTTTCAATAATTATAAATTAAAGTACTCTATGTATCTTTTTCCTTTCCGAAAGAGAAAATTACAATATTGGTCATGTGACTATTTGGGTCTTGTTAATTTCAGTACTCAACTTTAAAAACTAACAATTTAGTCCCGTAACTATGCAATTTTTAACACATTTGGTCCACCCGCCCAAATCGGCCAAATGTCGCCGGAAAATGAATTTTTTTAAAAATTATTTATTCATGAGGGCAAAATAGTCATTTCAACTCATGTCTTCTTCTTCTTCCTTGCACCTATTTCTGAATTGAATGCTCAGGGCGACGGCGGCTCTCGGCTGCGGCTTCGATTTCGCCAGTGATTTCCTCTTGAAGTTCGTCAAGAAGTTTCCGCCGGAAGCAGATTGGTAATTCTCGACGAGAGGAACCGCCGGTGAACTTGTCTTGCCGGGCGGTGGTGTCACCATTCCTGATGTTTCCGTAAATATCCACTGTGATAAGGGGACCACATTCGCTTCAAATATGATGTTCTTGAATTTAATCAGGTATACACTTTTCACACTATGTATATGCTGTTTTGTTCTTTCTGTTTTCTTATATTATTATCATGAGTTTTTAAACTGATGAACAATGATCACTTTAATGGAGTATCTTCAGATTTTATTGCTCAACTTTATGTATACAATATTCAATAGATGGATACAATTTAAGTTCAAGGCTTGCCGGAGCATTCAGTTCAGAAATAGGTGCAAGGAAGAAGAAGACATGAGTTGAAATGACTATTTTGCCCCATGGATAAATAATTTACAAAAGTTTACGTTTTTTCCGTCGACATTTGGCCGGTGATTTGGCCGGATGGGCCAAATGTGTTAAAAATTGCATAATTACAGGACTAAATTGTTAATTTTTAAAGTTGAGTATCGAAATTAACAAGATCACAATAGTCACAGGACCAAAAGTGTAATTTTCTCTTTTCGAAAAATATGAATCAGCCCATAGAGTGAGCTATGTTATGCAATATAAATATATAACGTATTGAGAAAAGAATAATCATTTTTTTTTTTGAGTTAGTTGGATAATTGACTTAATAATCACAAAGTTTCAAAGTTGACTCCCTATAGGTGCTGTATGGGGATTTCAATGCACAATGTACATAATTTTCTATAAAATAGTTTGTGTACATTTATGTAAACGTACGATTGTGTGCACTCATATTGGTTGATCTGTATGTTCTCACGGAAAGAGGGGTTCTCATTTGATCATTAATATATAATTTAAAACAAAATGAGAGTTACACCTAATGTGGTGGACTTCTTGTGGGCATCTAGACCAACACTAGTCCTCCTACCTAATAAGTCGTTGAATCACCGTGATTTACCTTCTACTATCCTAGTGGCCTAGGGTGTAGAGCCTTAAAAGCGAGAAAATTTCACTTTTTGTGGACAATTGAAAAAAGAGTAATACTATCTGACAGGATAATGGTGCTGGCACCCGACCCGGATCATAAGCAACACCTGACCCGACACCATATGTAACCTGACATCGTGTGGAATTCCAACAGGCAGAACTCCAACGGGCAGAACACCAACGGGTGGAAACATTATGGCCATTCATTGCATTGAAGGGAGAGAATTAAAGCTGAGCGCCTCATTCATGATTCTTCATGCTACTGCCGTTAGCCTCAGCTCCCCAATTATGACTCTTCATGCTGTTACCATTAGGACTTAGCATAAATAGAACTCCCCTCAGCTAGCAAGGGGGGGACACACTGTATTTTCTATACTGAGACAAAAGCAATACAACTATTGTTACTCTCTCTTTCACGTAATGCTATTCTAATATTATATTTCCGGTAACATTATTACCGTCATTGGTGCTTTCATTGAGAGCCTGAGTCCAATACTCAAGCAGGCTACGACACACAAAACTCATTCCTCTTTCAACAGCAAGCTTGAAAGAATGGTGTCCCGCAGCTCCCACGGTTCCCGCAACGTGAACAATGGCAATGCCTCAGGTAACCTCCGGGACCAACTCACCAACAATCGCGGAGGGAACCTCCGAGAACAGCTCAACAACGGGAGGCCTGGGGACCTTCGAGACCAACTCAACAATGGAGAGGACCTCCGAGACCAGCTCCACAATGGAGGGGCGAACCAAGTCGTGAACCTCCAGGCGACTATCCAGCAAGCGGTTGCGGTGGCACTAAACCAAGTGGCGGTGGGACTACAAGGCCAAGTGCCCCCGCCGCGGCCCCAGGAAATAAGGGTGGAGACCCAAAGAAGTGGACCGGCCAGACGACAACCAGGCCCTTCCCAATCTGCACCAGAACGATTTGGACAAAGGGCGCCCGTGCGGCAAAGATTAGGATCACGGGCCGAGGGATCCTCTACTAGTGGTCCTCGCCAGCACGAAAATAGAGAAGCCGAGATATCACCCACAAAGGAGGTGAGCGAGTCTCGGGAGCCGACCCCACGCCAACACGTTGATGAGTCGGCCTTACGTCGACACTTGGAGGAGCGACGCGTCGAAGAGCCGGCTCCGCGACGGCACTCAGCGGGGAAGCGACGCGTTGATGAGCGGGTTCCACACCGACACTTGGAGGAGCGGCAGCCGGCCCCGCGCCGGCACCCTGATAAGTCAGCCTTGGTCGAGAGGCTGCAGAGAAGAATCGAGGAGTTAGCAAGAAGGGTGGAGGCACGGGAGCAGTCGCCGGAACCCGAGGTACGGATGGCAGCACCATTCTCCCCAAGCATCATGGACATACCTTTGCCGAGGGACTTTAGGTTGCCCGCCATCAAGGAGTACACGGGGGTCACTGACCCACGCGTCCACATGACGAGGTACAAGGCTGCTATGGTAATGATCGGGGCAGGGGACGCCATCATGTGCCGAGCGTTCTTGTCCACCCTGGATGGAGCGACCCAAGACTGGTTCAACACCATCCCTGATGGGTCGATCCAAAACTTTGGGGAGTTGTCCATGATCTTCCTGACATACTTCTCCGGTAGCATACAGCGTAAGAAACCCTTCTCTCACCTCTGTGTAGTGAAGCAAGATAGAGGCGAGAGCCTCAAAGACTTCCTGATAAAATGGAAAAAGGAAGTCAATAATGTCTACGACTTCGACTCCAAGGCGGCGATCCCGATATTTATCCATGCCTTAAGATCAGGGTATTTCCACAAGCAGTTGAACGCCCACCACCCCCGCTCTTACGAAGATCTGATAAGGACGGCTAGCCGCTATGCCGAAGCAGAGGACGTCGACAGGAAGAAGAAGGACGAAGAGGATGGAAGGAAAGGTGGGAAGCCTGGGAAAGCGGGTCCGCCCAGCCAGGCACCACTCTCGAACCACCCGACCGCTGGGAAAGGCCGAGACCACGAACGACCTCACATGGTTCCCTTGCGTAATCTAACTCCTTTTACCCATCCCGTCAGTGTCATTCTAAAGCAAGCTAAGGAGATGGGAATAGTAGAATTCCCCGAGGAGTGCATGAAGGTCTCCCCGAAGGCGGACCAAACAAAGTACTGTAGGTTCCATAGGTAAACCGGCCACGATACGGATGAGTGTCACGTTTTGAAGAGACAAATAGAAGAACTCATCTAGCAGGGCTACTTTCGACATTTAGTCAAGCGATCCAAGCAGCAGCAACAGCCGCAACACAATCCACCAAAAAATGTCTGGAGGAATGAGGATGGCACAGAGCCGTCCACCTCGAACGCCAAAAAAACAGAACACGACCAAATATTTGAGCAGAATGATAGCGAGAAAGAAACCGAGGTGGCGCCCAGACGACAAAAAAAGCACACCATACACTTTTTCTATGGTGGACCCGCAGGGGGCGTCACGCCCGCGGAAAGAAAGAAGTGGAGCCGGCAGCTATATGTGGGAGAAGTGGTGAGTCTTTCTAGAGAAAAGAAACAGAGACAGGAGGCCATCACCTTCTCTGATGATGACCTCCCAGAGGGCCCGTTACCCCATCGTGAAGCCCTGGTGATTAAGATGGACGTCAACGATGTCATGGTCCACCGCATCTTAATCGACACAGGAAGCTCAGTCAACGTGATGTACTACGATGCCTTCACCAAGTTAGGGATACCTAGGAACCATCTCAAAGAAGTACGTACCCCACTCTCTGGATTTACGGGTGATTCAGTGGAAACAGAGGGGTCAGTGGTCTTACCAGTGGAGATAGGCACGAGCCCTAACATTCGCAAACTTGACGTAGAATTCATCGTGGTAAGACTCGCTTGTGCGCACAACATCATATTGGGGAGGCCGGCACTGGTGGACCTCAAGGCCATAGTGTCGGTGGAACACTTGTGTATGAAGTTCCAAACTCCGAATGGGGTAGGAGTCGTCAAAGGAGACCAGCGAGCAGCCCGCAGTTATTACGTAAAAGCATGCAAAAAGATTGGCAGAAAGGATCTACAAGTCCACACCATCTGCAAGGATGATTGATCGGGTATGGAGCTCAGAACATTTAGTTAGATATTATTAGTAATACTTTGTAGTCGTGGTCCGCCCAGACCTGTAAACAATATTTTGTAATCATGGTCTGCCCAGGTTGCTTTGCTCAAACAAAAGGTTCTCAACACCACCTTTGATCAACCAAAAGTCGGCCGACACCGCATTGTAAAAATAATAATAATAATAATAATAATAATAATAATAATAATAATAATAATAATAAAGATAAGATAAAATAAAATAAAAAATTAGAGAACCGAGTCCTCAGCCACGGGTTGGCCGAGACAAAACTCGGGTGGCCGAGGCATGCGCCTCGGCCGAAAAAAAAAAAAAAAAAAAAAAAAAAAAAAAAAAAAAAAAGGGTCGGGCAGCACCTCAGCCACAGGCCGAGGCGCACGTCTCGGCCTTCTGGTCGAGGCGACGCCTCGGCCAGATGGCTGAGGCGACGCCTCGATCCAAAAATAAAAAAAAATAAAAAACAATAAAAAAAAAAGGCCGGGCAGCGCCTCAGCCATAGGCCGAGGCGCACGTCTCGGCATTCTGGTCGAGGCGACGCCTCGGCCTTCTGGTCGAGGCGACTCCTCGGCCAGATGGCTGAGGCCGCGCCTCAGCCAAGGCCGAGGCGCACGCCTCGGCCACAAGCCAAGGCGCGGCGCCTCGATCCAAAAAAAAAAAAAAAAAAAAAAAAAAAAAAAAAAAAAAAAAAAAACGGGCAGCGCCTCAGTCACAGGCCGAGGCGCACGTCTCGGCCTTCTGGTCGAGGCGACGCCTCGGCCAAGTGGCAGAGGCGACGCCTCGATCCAAAAAAAAAATTAAAAAAATGCCAGAGCTCGCCTCGGCCACGATCGGTCGAGGCGACGCTTCGACCACGATCGGCCAAGGCGCACGCCTCGGCCACGGTCGATCGAGGCGACGCTTCGACCACGATCGGCCAAGGTCGGTCGAGGCGACGCCTCAACCCCGATCGGCCAAGGCGACGCCTCGGCCACGAGCGGTCGAGGCGACGCCTCGGCCACGAACGATCGGCCGGGGTGCGCGCCTCGGCCACGATCGGTCGAGGCCATGCCTCGGCCGTGATCGGCCGGAGGCACGCACCTCGGCCAGCCTAAGCCGCAGCCCGTCTCGACCAGCATAAAAAAAATTAAAAAAAAAATTCACGTGTGATTTGGAAAATAAAATCACATACTCGGGATCAACCGGGCACGATATCAAGCAAATTCAGCCTTACTCCCAAGTCAACTCAAACACATCCGTAGACTCAGGAGTAGGGGGGACTGGTGACAGGATAATGGTGCTGGCACCCGACCCGGATCATAAGGCACACCTGACCCGGCACCATATTTAACCCGACATCGTGTGGAATTCCAACAGGCAGAACTCCAACGGGCAGAACACCAACGGATGGAAACATTATGGCCATTCATTGCATTGAAGGGAGAGAATTAAAGCTGAGCGCCTCATTCATGATTCTTCATGCTACTGCCGTTAGCCTCAGCTCCCCAATTATGACTCTTCATGCTGTTACCGTTTGGACTTAGCATAAATAGAACTCCCCTCAGCTAGCAAGGGGGGGACACACTGTATTTTCTATACTGAGACAAAAGCAATACAACTATTGTTACTCTCTCTTTCACGTAACGCTATTCTAATATTATATTTCCGGTAACATTATTACCGTCACTATCAACCCGTCCAAAATTTTCCCCTCCAATCTTCCCTCCTTAGATGGCATTTTCTAATTAATTTGATGGAGTCACCCAAGTTATGAGCACCAATGATTTTCAGCCCCATCATGGAGAAAAATATTAGGGGAAAATTTTGGAGGGGAGTTATAATATAGAATAAATCGTAATAATTAATAACTATAGTCTAGGATTAAATTTGGAATTGTCAGGAAAGATAACCGACCTCTGGTGAAATTAACTCTTAAATAATTATATATCGATTTAAATATTCTTAATATATTACAATAATTTCATTCTGTGCATCGCACGGGTGAAAATACTAGTATCATTTAAAAAAAAAAAAAAACTAAAGTATATTAGATAGTGTAATTAATTAGTAGTTAGAGAAAATAGCACTTTTTCTCCTGAGTTATATACTTATAGCATTTTTCTCCCTGAATTATTCAAGTAACTATTTTCTCCCCTGAAATGTTAAATGGACACATTTACCCTTAAAATAAATATTTCATTTATTTTTCTTCTCCAACAAATTATTACCACAATTTGGTTCAAATTAAACAGACATTATAGAAACCAAATCGAAATATTCCAATTACAATTTAGAATCGAAACCCGATATTTAGAGTTTATTAAAAAATCGCGAACCGGAATGGCCGCTTCTTGTTCCAACTAAAAAAAATAAATACATTTATTATTGAATTTAGACTATTTTAAAATAAAAAATAAAATTTTAAAATAAAGACGGTTCAAAATCGCGAACCAATCCGGAACCGTCGATTCAGGGTTCAGGGTCCAATTTTTTCGATTCATAATTTTAATAAATTGAAATCCGAATATTGGGTTCTAGATCTGAATCATAACAGGAAACTTTTAATTTGATTGCTATAGTGTCCGGTTCAGTTCGAATCGAACCGTGGTCATCTCTACGTATACACAATAATTTGTTGGAGAAGAAAAATAAATAAAATGTTTACTTTAAGGGTAGAAATGTCAATTTAATATATCAGGGGAAAAAACCGTTACTTTTAGAATAATTGAGGAGGCTAATATGCTTACATGAATAATTACGAGAAAAAAATGCTATAATTATATAACTTATGGAAAAAAAGTGTCATTTTTCGTAAGTAGTTATTATCCTAATTTAATATTGGGTTGGCACAAACAAAATTATGCATTTATTATGGATTTGAAGGTTTAACATACTTAACGGGCAAACATAGCTTTTTACTGATTTTAAGCGTTCTGTTTCTTTAAAGAAAAACCATTCATCAACTCTAACATCTTCAACATCATCATCTTCATCCATAAAAACAAGAAACTATTATAGCCACCCTTTCTTTGATTTTGAAGAAAGGAGACTTGCAGAATTGAAGGCTTGAGGAAAGCAACAAAAAATAAAAAGAAAAAAAAAAAAGCAGAAAAGAGAAGAAGGCCGGATTTTCTCAATCCCTTTCTTCCCTTGAATCCTTCATCCTCCTTATTATAATTCATGGGAAGAATTTTTCCTCCGGATTATTATCACCACCACCACCATTACACCGCCTTTCCTCTCTTGTCGTTGTCGCTATTTGTTTTGTCCATTGCCACCACCTTGTCCATCGTCACGGCGCTATGCGGTTTCATGAGTAGCAAGGAAGAAGACGTCCAAGAGGTAGGAGTGTTACGTTGGATCATCATATAATTCTGATTTATTTATCGTTTAATAACCTTATTGTTTTTTTTTTTTGAAAGTAATAACCTTATTGTTGAATTAATTCTTATTTTAGTTAGTCACAATCTTATTGTGTAGGGATATTAATTTAATGCTTTCATCCTATTTTCTACTTTCTCAATATACTTTGTAATGAACAAGACATAGAGTATAATCATCTGCAATAAATATTTTTCTTTGTTATTTTCTTTTTGTCCGGAATTATTACCACATCAGTTTCAATGTACCTATATTCCGAAATCTTATACCTTAATTATTCTATAGGGAGTGGAGAAAGATGGCGATAAAAATAATGGTGACAAGAATGACGGTGGAGATACCCTAACGTCTCCCCCTTCTAACAACAGCGAAGACGAGGAGGCGGCGGAAGACGAGGAGACGAGCCCGCCGCTGCCGCCGCCACCGGCGATGCGGTCGGCGTCGTACCATCACCGGTCGAGCTCACAGGTGTCGCTGATGGGGCCGCCGGCAAAAAAGAAGCTGGCGTCGAGCATGAGCATGAAGGTGGCGGGGCTGGGGTCGAGCCAAGCGCCGAAGAAGGACGACATATTCGCCGGCGCCGGCGAGAAGAAGCGCGACAAGAAGCTAAAACACGAGGATTCCATATGGACGAAGACGATCATTTTAGGAGAGAAAAATAAAGTCCGCAACGACAGTCAAGAGGAGATTGTTTACGACGAGGACGGGAATCGGATAACGCCGTACCACCCCAAAACGTCCACCGCTCCGCCGCCGATGTCACGGCAGAGCTCCGCCGTTGACGAAGGCGCCATACCAAGATGATCACAAAGTACGTATACGTACCAAAAATGGATGAAGGAAATAAGGGAATATAATATAGGTGTATATATTATATTAGGAAGGGAATTATATTTTTTCCAAGAAAATTCTCCCATAAACCCCCCCCCCCCCCCCCCCCCCCCCAAAAAGAGATTCTGTTAAATTCTTCATGTTTTTGTGTAAAATGGAGTTGAGGGATGCTAATTCTTTAATGTTCTATGCTGTACATTAGAATTGATCGAATGAATCTTTTCATTTAATTAGTAAGATGTATTTTACACTTTGTTTTCAGATGTGTAATAGATCCAATTGAATGAATCTTTTCAGAGTTAATTCAAGCGGCAATAGTCTTCTGACCATTGTGATTTTTTAAAATTGATTATCGTCTTTTAATTTGGACAAAATAGTTCTTTACTATCACATTTGTTCTACTATTGGTCATTTCGTTAACTACCCAGTTAGATAGGCGTTAAGTGAAGGGCTAAAAAGGTTATTTTCTTTGATTGCTTTTTTCTTCCTAATGGTAACTTTGGTAAGTATATTGCACTTTTGATGAGACGTACACAGATGCGTGTGGGTACCTTCATATGTGGTCACAATAATGGACGCATCTTCGCTCCATCTCTCTACTCTCTTCTTCACGCCGCATGAAGTTGCGGTGCAACGATAGTAGCTCCGTATGTATCATTGTATCTATCTATGTTACTAAATAAATTCCCAACTTAACTACCAAGCTTTCATATATACCCATTGCACTAAAAAAAAAAAAAAAAAAAAAAAAATCTATCACATCTTACTCTTAAACTCCGCCCCACTCATACTTTGTAATATATTTTTTAATTTGAATATTGATTGAGCCCAGGCCACAAGAACTTAATTTGTAGGCATTATATATAATGCCCAATGCAACACGTACTATATATGACGGATGGAGTGAAATAATAAAAGTTAATAAGATTAGGAAGTATATATGTATAAATTAAATTAATTAACATAGATGGTGATCAGATGAATTCAGATTTGAGGAGGGTATAGTATAGTATAGTTTAGTATAGTATGTGGAAATATGTATGTAAATTGGAGTAGTGATTAATACAGTAGCAGTAGTATAAGATAGGTAGTCAGCAGACGGTACCTGAAAAAGTGACTGTTCTTGATTACTTTTTGGCCATACTTCCGCCATCTATACCCATCGCCCAAGTGATCACTTCACTCTCGCGAATCTTGTTTCGTTTTGCCTCCTCTTCTTCTTCTTTTTGGGTTTCAGCCTACACACACATATATATTCCAACATCAAATGAAATATATATATATATATATATATATATATATATATATATATAATATACTTAGCTTGTTACTCCGATACGATCCACCAAATAATTAACCAAATTCACTTATAAGGCAAATTATGCCCTGAAAACGTGTTGGTGAACACGGGTCCAAACGGTACTGTTTTTACTTCGCTAATGTGGTGTTAACAGCGCGCCTTTGGTCATATTATGAATTTTCTGTTATGAGATTATGAATGTGCTGTAAATTCATAATCTCATAACAGAAAATTCATAATCGCATAAAAGAAAAACATTTATTAAATTATGAATTTTCTGTTATGAGATTATGAATTTACTGTAAATTCATAATCTCATAACAGAAAATTTATAATCTCATAACTGCACATTCATAAATCCATGCAATTATGAATGTGCATGCATGGATTTATGAATGTGCAGTTATAAAATTGTGAATTTTCTTTTTATGAGATTATGTTGAAGAAGTTTGCGCGAAAAGGAAGTGAAACCGCAAAATGTGAAAGTGAAAAAAAAAAGTCACGCGATTAATTAAGAAAAAAAAAAAAAGATAACGATGTACTAATATCATTGGGACCGTGTTCACCATGGTGAACACTGTTCCATGGCATAACGATCCCACTTATAATTACAAACACAACCACACACTATTTAGTTTAATTTACTCACAAATTAAACTAACCTGGCCATCCCATTAAAACAAGTTTTACAATATATTATCAGCCTAGATAGCTTAGCTTGCACCGTAATATCAATATTTAAAATATAATTGAATTGGAATAGTAGTAGTAGTAGGGTTATTATTACTAGTCTGCGGTTGATCAAGAGAGCAATAAGAGGAAATAACCCTTTTAGCCATTCGATCACTTAACGCTTATTTTTTATTACAAAAGAAGAGGGACACCCACACATACACAAGATTCACCTACACCAAAGCTCAAACACTAAATCTCTCACATAAGGGAGCAAATCAGATACCAGTGGACCACAAGCTACTTGGTACTTAACGCCTATTTAACTGATAGTTAACGGAAGGACCAATGGTGGAATAAATTTGATAGTCAAGGGTCTATTTTGTAAGTTAAAAGACGATAACTAATTTTAGAAAATCACAATAGTCAGAGGACCATTGCTGGAATTAACTCAATATTTTCATTTAGTACTCGACTTTGGATAGTTATGTCGTGGAACCGTGCTCACCTTGCAAGGTAGACACGGTTCTATGTTCATAATTACTGAACTCTATGTTCATAATTATAAAACTCTATGTTCATAATTTTTGAACTTCATATTCACAATTAATGAACTCTATATTCACAATTACAGAACTCTATATTCATAATTATTAAACTCTATGTTCATAATTTTTAAATTCCATATTCACAATAATTGAACTCTATATTTAACTCATTATATAGAACTCTATGCTCATAAATCTATGTTCATAATTTTTGAACTCTATATTTACAATTATGATCAGTTTTAAAATTGTATCTACTTTAAAAGGTGGACACGATTCCACAACATAATTTTTCCTCCACTTTATAAACCCCTTTGTTTTACATGTTTGTGTCCCCCCAAATCCAACAATTGAATAAATAAAGTAATGAATTAATACATGCCCAAATGACCTAACCTAGCTATTAGTCCAACCTACAAATTAATTGACCCATTGAGAATTTAGTTGGAAGTTGCACAACCAACAAGATAGACTAACCAACGATCAATTAAACTAGGCGGAGCTAATTGGCAATTGCCAACCAATATACCGGACTAGCCTACGATAAATTAAAAGGAGAAATGTCAAATATGCTCATTTATTACTGTGAAGTGCTCAATTCCATTACGAACTAAATTAAGTGTCAAATAAACTCATTTACCAGCTAAATTTGTTCAATTGATTTTTTTTTTTTTTTTTTTTTTTTTTGCAGGTTGCCTATTCAATTATTAAAAAATATTTAAAAAAATTAAAAAAAAAAAAAAAAAGAATTTCAGCCACCGGTGGTCCGCGCCGAACAGCCGGTGCCTGCGTATTTCACAGAAAGCCGTGGCTGTCCGGCAAGGACAGCCGGACATCCACGGTTGTCAAACATGAGGTCCTGATCTGGACCTCAAGGTCGCCGCCCTCGTTCCAAACGGCCATGGCCGTCCACAGACAGCCACGGCCGTCTAAAAAAAATTTGATTTTTTTTTTTAGACGGCCATGGCCGTTTGGAACATGGCCGTTTGCCCTTACAATTGTAACACGGTACGGTCCACCTAATGAACATAGAAAGGTAAATTATTTATTTATTCTAAGAATATTATTATATTCAATTAATGTATATGTTGCTTTAGTATCAATGAATCATTGTGTGAGGCACATTACATCTTACTCTCTTTTAATTACATCTTACATAGAAAAGGTAAATTATTTATTTATTCTAAGTATACTATTATATTCAATTAATATATATGTTGCTTTAGTATCAATGTATCATTGTGTGAGGCACATTACATCTTACTCTCTTTTAGTTATATCTTGTAGATTCTGGAGCTTGTGGATATAGAAATGTAAGCAATTCTCTATACAACTCCTTAATAGCGGCAGAAAATCAAGCTCTGATCTATACCAAAGCGGCAAAGGTCGTGGACAATGTTATCAGGTATATAAACTATAAGATATGTATTTTTTATGTCAATATAACAAAATAGTTTTGTTTTATTTTATGTCTTTATATGATAACTAGTAATTTTTCAGTGCGATGCACAGACTATTATTAATTTAACAAATTTATCAATTAAATTTTTTACATACTCTAAATTAGCAAAAAAATTAATAGTTGTGGAAACAGAAAAACTAACCTGAGTTCTTTCACTCCCAAAAGTATTCATCTTCCCTAGATCACACAATATAAAGCTCTATAGGAGATCTAAGCTCCCAAAAATATTCTTCTCCCTATTTTAGTCACAATTATCTTTCTAATTCTAACCATGACCAAAACATAATTGTAGTATTATATTGGTTGTGGATGATGACTTATTTATAATGTTGAAGTATGTGTAGATGTTCATGTAAATATTGAAACATGTGGTTATTGAAATTTGTAAGAATGTTTTATTTATTGCAGTAAATGTGAACACAATTAATGCATTCATACTTTGCTAATGTCATTTGTAATTGATGTGGAGATATTAAATGCTTATATGGGCATCCTTAATAGATAAGTTTTTAGGTGCCAAATAAGATAGAGGAGAGAGAAAAATATGTGGAAAAAAAACTGGAAAAAAAATTACCCCCAAACTTCCTTCTCTCTCTTGATGAGACCCACAAACTCTGAAAAAACTTGGGTCTTTGCAGGAGTACCCTACTACTTTTCTCTCCTCCCTCTCTCTCTTTTAAGTTGGCATTTTTTCTTAAAAAACTGTGAACAATCTCTTAACGGGGATGCTCTTAGAAACACAACATAAGTATTGCAATATTAATTTTCAATTATGGATCAACAATTATTACTCAAATTAATTTTGTGAATTACTCTCCACTCCACAAAACTCTTTTTGATTATTATTCACTTTGATTTTCTTTCATCTTTATTTAATTATTTATGATGATTATGAAGTTCCTAAACCCTTGATATTCCATAACTCTCATATGCACCAAATGGAGAGAAAATTTTTCACCTTGATTATGCTTTATTATATATAGAGATTTAATTATATAAGAAATGATATTTAAATGCTGATATATAATATGATATGAAGTATTGCAACTTGTTATAAACTTATATGCAGAAATCCTTTGTATTGCTTTATTTATGTGTATTTAATTAAATAGTTTTTTTGTTTGGGAACTGTTTGAAAAAAATGTTTGTACTCTGTAATACATTTGAAATACAACAAGATACAGAAAACAACAGGGAACAAAAACTGGATCATTTGATATCTTCAGGCGTGTAATCACTTTCCTATAAGCTTTAAATCTTCCTCTATAAAAGCAACATGGTTCAAGATTTAATCTTATGGGATACAAGAAGATGAATGAAATTCTTAAGTTGCTTTGTTTAAGAATTTCCTGTAGAATTGTAGAACTGTGAAATATCAAGATATGCAACAAGAAAATTTTGCATCTCCTTTTCAGATGTTTCTCCAAAATATTTATAAATGCAAATATGACTGTTAGAGAAGTTACATGGAAGTTTTCTGCAGTTTTAAAAAACTTATCTTCCCTAAAATATATCTTAAATGATATATTTATCATATGAGAATATTAATTACATAAATCATGTTCAACATGAATATATATGTAATTATGAACCTTTGTAAGATTATGAACCGCATGCAAATAACTGTGCAAATATATATATATATATATATATATATATATATATATATATATATATATATATATTATAATTTTTAGCACACTTTTGCATGTAAGTTTGGAAATTGGAAGCTTACGTGTTGTATAATCATTTTCCAAATGAAATACACAATTCCCCTCTATTGGGTAATAATCTTCAATGTTGGGGAATAATCCCCAATGTTGGGGAATAGACAAATTCTTCAAACAAACTCATTCTCCAATTAAATTTCTATCAAACTAAAATAATATTTATAACTCATCAACTCCAAATATTATTTTAAGCTTTTCATGGTAGTACATCTGAAACTTTAATCTCCATTACTATATAAATTTCCAACAGGAACTAATTGTAAACTTTAGGAACAATGCATTTCAAATTTAGCATGTTCAGGAAATCCTGTGAAAATTTATATAACAAATGAATGTCCAACGATGTGCCAATTTGATTTGACTTGAGTGGAATCGCTTTTGGTGCATTGGCAAAGCCAGATCAAGGTGATGCATTGTGTAATGCTGGAATGATTCAGATCTCATATCAAAGGTAATTTTAATTTTATAATGTTATATCTAGTGCGTTAATGTGTATTGTTTAGCTTTTAATTTGGTACAATTTGATTTTACAGTCAAGCTGATGCATTGTTCTAGGGGCTATAGGTCCTCTGACGCCTTCCCTCGCACTCCACCGACGCCTTCCCTCACACTCCACTGGTAGGAAATTTCGCTTCGCACCCAGGCGGCGGCGATGGTATTGATGACCCAGCGGTTTTTCCGATTTTCCAACCCGGCCTTCAGGAGTATCGAGAATGGGCCTCTTCTCCAACAACCTCTTTCAAGATGTCATGTCTCTCATCCACTACTACAGTACACAGATGCCTACCACCACCACCCAAGATGGAGACAATACCCAAGAATTTGCAGACAATACCCAAGGAGTAGGAGATAAAGATAATACCCAAATTGATAAGGTTGATTAAGTAGACAGACCGAGGCTCAGAAATCTTTCTTATTACTTACCTTCATCATATAGATTCTTTCCTTGTAACCAAGTCATATGGTAGTTTTGATATTGTTAGGAATAAAGTGTAATGGTTTTGATATGCCAAATATGTATTTGTAGAACCCCCAATTTTATTTTATAGGTCTAGTAGAGTCTTAGACCATGATCGGGAAATTATTTAAGTTGCAAAAGAGAAAAACAGAGGAAGATGCATGAAAATAGAAAAAGAAGATATAAAGCCTAAAATCAAGAATTTGTCTTGAGAAAATGACAAATGGAAGAAGATGAATAATAT